TTCTTAATGATGCTGTTACTGCATGTGTCACATCCATGATCACAAAGTGCATATTTCTCTTTGCTCTTCTATCGCGCTCTCTCGTTTTCCAGCTCAGATCAAACAGTGGCGGAATAAGATGCCCTTTTCTGCAGTTTTGGCCTCATCCCAGCATCATCTTCATCATCATCATCATCATCATCATCGTCACCAAGATCCCTGGTGTTTCCAAACGCTAACCAGTCTAGCTTAATGACATTAATTTGCTCCTCTTGTCAATCTTGGCCAATAGCGAGCATGGAAGGGTGATGTGGATCTGAAGGACAGATTAGGTTCCCCCTGCACCCCACCCAACCCCATCCCAGCCCGCCTCTATGGGAAGGGGGCTCGTGGTGAGGAGCGCGGATCAAGGGGCAGACGCTTCGCCAAGTATAAATAGTGTGACTTCAACAGTGAATCGGCAGCAAGTGCGCACACTCCGCAACAAGAGGAATTGTCAAAGATCTCGACACATCATCTCGCATTCAGGCCGATGTTGATGTGTTATGGTAGACTGCTGAGGATCTAAAGAGAAGATTGCATTTTTTTCTTCTTCTTCTTGGGCGCAGTGATGGAAGAACTTACCGCGTTTGTCTCCAAATCTTTTGATCAGAAAGTGAAGGAAAAGAAGGAAGTGATCACGTACCGGGAGGTGCTGGAGACCGGCTCGGCGAGAAACAGGGAGAGTCTGTCGGTGGAACCGGTTCGCGAGGAGCTGAGCAGCATCACGCGGGGCGGCGTGCGCTCATCGCCGGCCAGAGAAGCGGACATGCTCGCGTCAGAGAGAACCAGGGACTCGATCAGCCCCAAACTTACAGACGGTGAGTGTTTCCTTCGTTTCTCCAACCCGGCATATTTACGAAAATGATTTCATCGCGCTATTTCTTCTTCAAAGGCCTGTTTGCTGTCTATAATTTAAGTTTTAGAACTTCTTCGCTTTCGATATTTTTTTATTATAGGCCTATTTTAAAGTCACGTTCATTTCGTTAATAATAATAATCATACTATAGTAATTTGACAGTCATCGCTGTTATGAAGCAGCCTGAAAACAAAAGAATCAATCAAAAGTTAAGTGATACAATCGAGCGCTGTAACATTGTGGCTGTTTTTTTGTAGGACAGTAGTTGCGGGCCTATATATTTTATTTAAAAACATTTTTTTTGAAAGATTTAGATTATCCATGAGATAACCATCTGTAGAAATAAAATCCACAGGTAGATGTACACGAAGGGCTTCATAGGCTAGGCTATTAACAGAAGAAAAAATAATGTAGAAATCAAACAAACAAAGAATGTGCCAGTGTATTATAAATCAGCACGCATTTTACAAAAAAAGCTGAAGGCCTATATTTCAATCAGCCTGTTTGAAGTCTGAGATTTTAAATAATATCATGAGATCAACAGCTATAATATTAATAACAGTAATAATAATAATAATAATGTGAACTGCTGACCATTTCGATTAGACGTAGCCTATTATTTTTGCGTTAGAAGCACTAGATATCTAACACACAGGCTATTGTTTTTAATGCAGGTTAATTATTTTGACAGCAGGGATTTTCATTCAGCTGTGTTAATTGTTGTCTTTATTGATTTAATTTTCGTAACATCGAGCCGTTTTGCCAGGTTATTAATTTCGCGTGCAATGGGATAATATTCCTGCCATAAGCATCCGGTTCAGAGAGACTCTCCATGCATTTGTATAGTGTGTAAATAATTAAAGAGCTCTGTGTAGGACAAAACATCCGTGACCGACATCAGTGGGCACACACTGCCCTCCTTTCTCATCACTGGATGAAGCGTTCATTCGTGTTTTCTGCTCCGCTTTCAGGTAACACAGATATGAAAGAACGCAAAGAGGACTGTAAGCCGCTGGAGGATGAGACACAGACTAAAATCAAGCAGAGAAGGAGTCGGACTAACTTTACCCTTGAGCAGCTGAATGAGCTGGAGAGACTGTTCGATGAAACGCACTATCCAGACGCCTTTATGAGAGAGGAGCTGAGCCAGAGACTCGGGCTGTCGGAGGCCAGGGTACAGGTCAGGCATGCATGTGCTGTCTACATGTGTGCTGGATGCTGTGTGCGTTATGGTTTCCCTTGCGAGAGGAGAAACACTTTCGATTAATGCAATGTTGAACGTTAGAGGCTGTATGCAACTGCATATGAAGTGCAAGATAATTAATTAATTGTTTAGGCTATATATAGGTGATTGCATAATTAACGTGCTATTATTACGTTATTACATATTCTGTTACGTGCAATGTAGACGCGTATATCATATAGGTAGGCTAATCAGTTCATTAAACTATTGACACATTAAGATTAGCAATGCAGAGTCTCCGAAATAATTCCTAAGTATTAAGAGAGTAAAGATGAAAATGTATTTGTAATTTGTATAGGCCTATACAAATTGTGTTACAAAAAGTGTTACATGGGCACTGCTATATTGTTGTTCTGGCCAACTAGCCACTGCTAAACACTAAGCAGCTTTACAGCACAGATTAACGTTGCTATTATTAGTGTTATATGTGAATATTTACATTCATAGCGTGGTAAATACAATTAGATATCAGCTTATGTGTTGAATGATGTTGTCGGGAAAAACGTGATATTACGCCGCTTAAATCAACGCCGCTGAGCGATAATGAACAAAACAACGAACTAAAATTATTCCCTGATTTGCGCGCATTGGCCTGCAGGCAACATCTGTAGTGTGCTTTTTAGGATGGGGAAGACCATCTGCACAGAAACATAATAAGGCTCAATATATGTGTAACAAGAGACGAGCGACTGAGCCGAATAATGACATTCAACATAGGCATTGGCTCTGGTGTGATTGATCAGAAGAAGAAAAAAACAATATCTTATTTCATTCTCTTTTATCTATTCATTCCTTGGGTGGGGATATAAAATTCACGCTTTGAATACATTGGTCCTTTTAAAAAATGGGCTCAAAAGACCTCCCTGGAAAAAGTTAAACCATCGTCTCTCTTTGGGATCTTACCAAAAGGCATTGTCCCAAGCAAGGCCTGCGGATTTACATAAATTATCTATCATTTTTACCCAAATAAAGATCTGATGCTCTTTTCATATTCAGTATTCACAGACAAGGCCACACCGCTGGCTCAAAGACAACACTGCCATTTTACCGGATAAAGTCATAACGTATCGGGATTTATTATCATATATTTATTATCGCGTTTCCACTTTCATTACAGCAGAAATATCATGCAAATGCAGTGTCGCTTGCTCGTTGTTAGGCTGAATCAAAATGAACAAACAGTGCACTGGAACTATGCGCGATTCAAAACAGATGCATGAGACACAATAATTTCCAAATCTCCAATGCCCATAACATAGGCGATATGGCAGAGAACTATAACACTAACTTTCTCTCTGAGATAAGCAATTAATGTCTCAATTTTAGCCTGCTATTGAAGCCCAGGCATATTGTCCCATGCTGGGTATTTGCTGTCAGAGGATCACTTTGCTTCTTCTGGGACTCTAATCCCTGGATAGATTAAACCATTGCAGAAAGACGATATATTATGGCACTTTTTCAGATGCATGACTTGAAGATTCGTTTGTTTAACATTTTAACAAATCTGTTTGTTTTGTGGTCATAGTTGGCCGCTTTTTACGTCAATTCGCCGCTCGTTATAGAGATATAATAATTAAAATGTGCGGTTAAGCGCTATGAATATTTTAGAGGTCCTCAGGGATGCATAGTTTTGCGGAGACTGTTGTCATTTTTGGAGGATTTACACATGCCCTCACCAACAGCTGTCAATCAATGTCTTGTGTTTTCAGGTTTGGTTTCAGAACCGACGGGCCAAATGCAGAAAGCAGGAAAATCAGTTACATAAAGGTGCGTCGGATTCAAACGCTTCACATGCATTTGAATGATTTACAAACTATAGGCTTTATAAATTAGTGATTGCTATTATGCTAGTTGTTGTAGTTATTTTGGTTCTCTGTATTATTAAAACCTTATTGTTTTTGCTGATGAATCATCGGATATTTGTAGACGGCACATTTAGCTACAACACATAGGCCTACGGAATAAAAATCTTTTAGCTACTTAACGGTGTATCCGGTGTGTCTTTTTATGTGCAGAAATGTAGCGATTCATGCAGTGTCTAGTTTTCGAGCACACACAGATAAAAACTCAATGTCAGCATTTTTTTCAGGAGTTCTCATCGGAGCGGCGAGCCAGTTTGAAGCGTGTCGTGTCGCTCCATATGTCAACGTGGGAGCTCTGCGCATGCCATTCCAGCAGGTAAGTTACAATGCAGAGGCGTCCTATTTCTATTTCTATTTCTATTTCTATGAATCCACAATCAGATTTCCCTCCTTTTGTTCTTGCAATGACATAAGTGAGACATTTTGACGAAGAATATAACTGCTAGGCTATTGCATAGACGAGTTGAGATTTGTGAATTGATCGTGCTTGCCCCATGCATTTGAATCATATTCGGGGGGGGCATTGCAAGCACACCGGAATGCAGGTGTCCGAATGCATTATTTATTTATTTTTAGCTATGATGATAAATGCAATTGATCCAGTGCCCAGTAACGGCTCTGCATATAGTCTCTCTTAAGTTAATGTGTTTCTCCCCCTCTCTTCCCACCCGTGCGTCCATAGGATAGTCATTGCAACGTGCCGCCCTTCTCCTTTCAGGTGCAGGCGCAGCTGCAGCTGGACAGCGCCGTAGCCCACGCGCACCATCACCTGCACTCACACCTGGCGGCGCACGCGCCCTACATGATGTTTCCCGCCCCGCCGTTCGGTTTGCCCCTGGCGACGCTCGCGGCGGAATCCGCCTCGGTGGTGGCGGCGGCAGCGGCGGCAAAAAGCACCAACAAAAACTCAAGCATCGCGGATCTGAGACTGAAGGCGAAAAAGCACGCGGCGGCGCTGGGGCTGTGACGTCACTGAGCACCGAACGCGACGCGAGGCAGAAAAACAAACGCATTATTTATGTTTTCCTGTGAAGGACGCGCGAGAGAAAAAGGAGAGGCTATTTATGAGAACACAAACTGTGAAGTGGACGAACTTTGCGTGGATCTTTTCGCGGATGGAGGGACAACTACAAAACGTTTGAATGAACTACGAGAAAATAAAAAGAGTTGAACTTTTAGTGAACTTTTGCAGAAGACAAGAAGCTGAATCTGAATCTGATGATATAAA